TATTTAAGTAACAAAAAAATCCGAAAAACCTGAAAAATCTGATAAAACCGAACCAATCCAAACCGATATAGTTGATTTGATTTGGTTTTAATCCCTAATGAAAAATATAGATAACTTTAAGGAGTTGCATATGTATTTTGCCTTTTTAAAAAGAAGAAAATAGAGTTAAGAGAAAGGATTTGTTTGGCACAAAAGTTACTGTAGAAGAAAAAGCTCATGCGATAAAAATAAAAATAAAAATTGGGGCTCCTTGAAACGACTGTCAATGCCTAAAACTCTACGAACTTGAACATGGCAATTTCTTTCATAGTTAAAGCTTCAATCCAGCTTCATTGTCGAGCCATTTTCATCCCCTGGTCAGTAGTTCTCCTCACTTTGGGTTTTGTCCTGAAGAAATTTTATCATTCTTACCCTATTTAAGTTCTTTACTAGCAGCTGCAACCATGTTTTCTAGAGTTCTGACTATTGAATGTTCATACATATTACTGCATTTGTTGATGTATAGTAAGTATCTTGGTAAGCTGACAACTTTTTTTGAAGTGCTTCTGTGAATCTGCAACGTGGGTTGTTTAAGCAAAGGTTTGATTTTTAAGGCAAAAAATGACCATAGAAAAGATTACCCAGTTCATTTTCCAAATTACGGAAATGGGTTTTATTTTTAGGGAAAATATGACCAAAGAAAAGATAACAGCAGTTCATTGTCCCAAATTATTGAAATGGGTATTTGTGTTAAGTGGGGTTTTTAAGCAAAGCTTTGATCTTTAAGACAAACATGACCATAGAAAATGTACTTGTGTTAAGTGGATTGTTTAAGCAAAGGTTTGATTTTTAGTATAAATATGACCACAGAAAGAGATTACAGCAGTTCATTATTCAAATTCTTGAAATAGGTACTTGTGTAAGTGGATTTGTGAAGAAAAGGTTTGAGTTTTAGACCAAATGTGACCATCAAAATATTATGATAGTTCACTCTCCAAATTTTTTGAAATAGGTTCTTTGTGTTTGGTGGGTTAACCAAAGGTTTGATTTTTAGACCAAATATGACCACATAAAAGGATAGAGCCGTTTGTTGTCCCAATTCATTAAATGGGTACTTCTGTGACATGAGTTTCTTAAGCAAACGTTTGATATTTCGGACGGACATGACTGTAGAAAAGATTAGTGCTGTTCATTCTTCTAATTCTCCAAATCGGTACTTATCTTACATGGCTCTGTTAAGCAAAGGTTAATTTTTAGGCAAACATAGCCATGGAAAAATTAAAGCAGTTTATACTCAAAATTCTCGAATATGGTAGTTGTGTCGCATGGTTTAGTCAAGCACACTTTTGATTTTTAGGGCAAATATGGGCATAGAAAATATTACAGCAGTTCATTCTCTAATTTATCAAAACGGGCATATAACTATGGTATGTAATATATGTATTTTTCCGTATATGTTACTCTCGAGAAACGGTTTGATTTAATATGATATGATTATTAGGGTGCATAAATACAGTGCCATAAGCTGCTCCAGAGGCAGAGATTATAGCACATTTCCAGTCCGGCACATTCCCAAGAAATCTAAAGAATGCCAAGAGTTGGAAGCTGCTTCACCAAGGAAGCGCTTTTTGGACATAGAAAAGCAGAGTAACGTGGATAGGAATGTTCAGGAAACTGGATTTTCTGTTGGTGGAAGGTTGAAGAATGGAGGCATATCTTTTGATTCCAAGTCTCAAAATCATAAACAAAGGCTTCTGACCAGCATAGACAATGAGGTTGAATGGGGTATGATTGGATTTATCCACAGCTCTGTTGTTCTTACCTGTAGTGAAACTCGTATTATAATGCAGCATTCAAACTATGGAAAATGAGAAAATAAGAAGTTATTATGGAATTTCAGGGAAGGAAGATGAAGTTAACGCAGATTTTAGGCTTGGGCGTGCCGAAACTGATAAAGCTAGAGTAGATGCAGAAAGGATAGCAGTTCAATTACTTGCTTCAAGGTTAGAATATTAAATGTCTTATATCTCTCTATCTGGTCGTTATTTATTTGCTATCAACTATTATTTGCTACTGCGCTGATCTGACTTCCAACATGATATTTTCAACTGGTGTTGAAGACTCTAAGGTGCATATTAGATGGATAAACATTAATTTCCTTCATTATATGTGTGCATAGAGCTGTATGAGTGTGGCTTTCAGGGAGAGAATGATGTGCCAATGATGAAACTGTTAGTCCTTTGTTGATGCACATGAATTCTCTTTCCAGTCAGTGAAGCTAAGAAAAGAAGCCCTTAGATTGGTGCAAATGGAGCTTCTTCTGATGCATGCTTTTTTAAACTGTGCAGAGCACTCACGGCTGCGGAGCTGAAGAAGAAACTCCTGGGAAGAAAGTTTACAATCAGTGTCGTTAATGCTGTAATAACAGATTTCCATTCCAGGTAAATCGAACTGCCATCAAGATATTCTCCATCAAAGTAGTCAACCCGGTCTTTCGTAACACACAGATGTTATTTCAAATCACAGTCATATTTTGGCTATTGATGTACAGTTGTCACTTGTTCACCAACATTGTTCTATTTTTATCTAGACGTTAAGAGTTACACTTAGACTTGCTAAAAGGAAAATTAGTAGAAGAAGAAGATAGTGCGATAGGTTTTGTGTCACTTCTGAGTTGGTAATTCTTGGCTCAATTTCAATTTCGCCATAATGACCTCATTCTTATTTGTTCTGTGTGTTTCTCTAGGGGTTTAATCAATGATAGTATGTATGCTGAAATGTTTTCTCGGTCCAGATGGTCTTCCTCAAGTTGGGGTCCAAGACGAATCAAGCAAGTAAATTTTCCTCTTTGTCAACTACTTCACTGAAGGAGATTTTGAGCTTACTTTTTTATGCTTCTGTATAGAGTGAATTGGTTGTACGGTTCCAAAATAATGGGTTTCTCACCTACCTTTTATTTTTTCATTTTGACTTGGTCTTATTTGGGCTAGCATTGGAGAGCAGTTAGTAAATATCTTCCTGAATTTTCCTTGGGTAATCTGGAATTTTTCTTTTTCCATCCACTTAGGAGGACACAGGAGCATATATGTTTCTTATTACATCCAAACTTGAGTACTTAACAAAAAGAAATAATAATTTTAACATTGCAAGTATAGTGCAATTATGGAGGTACAGTCTGCTATTTAGTTATCATGTTCCAACCATGCGGTCCATTAGTTCTTTTGAGTAGTTACACCCTTTTCTTCTCACCTCCATTTTATTATACAGAGGGGTTGCTTTGGTTTTGTTCTGCTTTTGTCATAACCCGATTGAACGTCCTTATCATTTTACGGATTAGGCCTTGATCAAGAAGGGTGTAAGCGAAGCAGATGCAAACAAGGCCGTAAAATTGGTTTTCAAGAATGACGAAGCTGGTGAAGAGGAAGACTCAGGAGAATCAAGAGTTACTATGTCGAGACCTTCCCTGGATCAATTGTTTGTCCAGGCATCTAAGCAGTGGCTTAAAGGGCAGGGTGTGCCTAGAGAAAAACGTAAAGCAAGGATTGTTCGTTGGCTTCAGTACCGTGGCTTTGATTGGAGTGTGGTTAGTTTCATACTTAAGAAGTTAGAGTCCAGCTATCCTGAGTAGAACCCCATTACACAGCGAAAGCGATTATGATGGTTTTGTTTGCTGATGCCATTGCCGGATGTAGGCAAAAGCACTGCTTCCTACTGTAAAATGGCTCTTAGTGGAAGTACAACAAAATGGATCAGTTATTCACTCTATTGTTGCCATCTCAAAAATAGTTTGAAGTGTTAAGATCAACATAGAAGGCGGGTTGTGTGAGCGATATATTCATCTTGTTATGACAGGAATGAGCAGTTTCACTGGAAGTAATTGTACCTTGTGCCACATTAACCAGATTGTAAATAAGAATGCTTCAATTTTCAACTATATGTTTTCTGCTTATTCATGTTAATAGAAAATGTTTGGAACTGTAGACCTCCTTGGACCCAGGGAATGATGAGTCACTAATAGTTTCCTTTTTGTAGGCATCTCTTGATTTGAGTTATTCTACCCATTCTCGCCTGTTTGGTTGTGGTAGTCTTTGGTCATTATTTTTCTCTTACCACCAAGAGTTGGCGGTCGGATGGATAGATCCTTCCTGGCTACACCCTTAACTAGAAGCTACAGGTTCGAGTTCGGGAAATGAAAAAATCCTGGTAAGGAGTGCTTTTCCGTTTAATAGGTCTTATATGGCACGAATTTGGATTAATTGGGCTAGTGGGTTCTGGATAGAGACCTTTACACAAATAGTGGGTCGTATTTAATGATTATTTTTCTAGTCGGTATACATAGATTATATACTTATTATACATAATTATACATATATTATACATCCACATACTATTTTTAGTTCGCTGACTATCTAGGTTAATTCTTCTTTCGGGATATGGAATATTCTTACATAAAAGAAACTATTTTTCTCCTGGATGAATATGTAATACTCGCCCATCTTGCTATGTATAAATTTTACTTATTAAACTGTTTTCAAAGAAATGGTATCATGGTACTACATAAACCCACATTATGGGGGTAAATTCCAACGTGAAATCGAAGTTAAGTGACATTGATCCCGTACGAGCAAGCATACTAATTGCTTAAAAGCTTCTCTCAGAAATCACATGAGCATGTGATGGGGCCAACTCATTGTTGGCAGCTGGACTATTTCTTGCGAGACACTTGGGAATCTTATTTCTGTTCAATAAATTCAACGTACATAAGTCCAAGAACCTCCCTCCAATGATTGCTTCACTTTCCATATGTCTATACAGTTTCTTAACCCTCACACAAGTTATAATTGAAGTATTTATGGTACTCATTCCCATAGAGAAAGAATATTAGGTGATTTTTTTTTTCATCTGTTTTAGTTTTGATAGACAGAATTATAATTATGTTGGTGAGAGGTAACGTGTAGGTCCCGATGGAATAGAAAAAGGAAAAGAAAAGAAAGATTGATAGACTATAGAGTACCAATTGGTATGTAAAAAACCAATTTCAGATAATGATGAGCACTGATATTTCACTCTATAATACTAATGCTAAACTGAAAACACCCTTACTAGGAGTACATGATTGAGGAATGGAAATGATTATAATTAAAATCTATAACCTGCTCTAAGTCATACTGCTATAAAACATGGCATATTCACAAGTTTGTTCACTATGCTGAAGCCTTATTTGGAGATAGAGTTATCAGAAAACACAAAAGAGCAGCTACAGGATAATTGGGAATCCGCATTCTTGGTTCCAGGTGATTTTGGAAGAGCTGTTACACTTGCATTTTTCTTCAACAGGTCAGATTCAGACACTACAGGATCAACGTTTCGAATTTCCTTGAGCATGGCTACAACATCTCTCATCATTGGACGATCATCAGCTTTCGTGCTCACGCACAGAAATGAAACAGCTAAAGTTTGCAGCATTTCATGCATCTCAGGGTCAGCCCTTCCCCTAAGCTTTGGATCAAGAATGTCATTTGGATCGCGCTTGCTTTGTAAGTGCTCGCGCACCCATTGAACTAAGTGTGCACCCCCAGGCAATGTTGGGTCCAATGGATGCCTTCCTGTTAGTACCTCCAAGAGAACCACACCAAAACTATACACATCACTCTTTTCTGTGATCCGTTGCATCGAAGCATGTTCTGTGGGTACATAACAAGGCAATGTCTTTGTCAATTCAAGAAAAGTTGATCTGCAATCAATCAAGCTGAGATAATAAATATAGTATAAATAATTACCTGGAGCCATATAGCCATAAGAACCAGCAAGATGAGGCCTTTGGCTTTGCTTCAACAAGTCTGCATCGACATCAGTGTTGACAATCCTTGCCAACCCAAAGTCGGCTAAATAAGGCTCCATTCTAGGGCCTAACAATACATTCATTGCTTTGACATCTCCATGCATTATAGGAGGTACACAATCATGATGCAAGTATGCAAGTGCATGAGCTACTCCAATGACCACATCAAATCTGGTCTCCCATTCTGCTGCTCCTTTGCCAACACCGTGGAGCAATGAGCTCAAACTCCCATTGGGTAGGTAGTCATAGAATAGTAGTTTCATGTTCTGGTTTGAAGCCCAACCAAGGAGGCGTACTATATTCTTGTGACGGATTGAACCTAGAGTACGAATTTCTGAACTAAACGCTCCTGATTCCTCTGATGACCACATTTTCTTGACTGCCAGAGTAACCCCATTTTCGGTCATTACCCTGTACACAACTCCAGAGCTTCCAGTGCCAATGACATTAGCTGATGTTAGATTATGAAAAATGTCATCTATTGAAAAGTCCAACTTCTGGTAAAGAGTCATTTCCCAAGTATCAACATCTGGAGATCTGTACTTGGCCGCTCGTGTCCTGATCAAGGTGTAAATGGCTAGAAGCACTAGCACAGCACTAATACTGACAAGGATCGACATAGCAAGTTTCATGGTTGATTTGGCACGTCGAGCGGGTCCCAGTTGAGTCACGTCCCCACCAGAGATATAAAGAGCTTGGTTTCCAGTAAGATCACTCAAAGGAAGCTTATGAAAGAATTGGGTATTGGGCAGTTTTCCGGAGAAGTCATTGAATGATACATTGAGCGAGACAAGGTTTTGAAGGTTTGTAAGAACATCTAAATTCCCGATGAGTTTGTTGTGGGAGAGATCAAGGTTTCCTAGTCTAGTAAAACCTGAAAACTCACTTGGAATCACGCCTGTAAATTGGTTACAACTAAGGTTGAGAGAGATTTCCAGGGATGGTATTTTACCCAACTCTTTAGGTATATCACCTGAGAAACCATTGTACCCAAGATCTAGCAGCTGAAGCTTACTACAAGAAATTATCTCTGCTGGAATTCTGCCAGAAAGTTGATTTTTCCCAAGATTCAGTTTTGTTAATTCAGCTAAAGAACCAACACTTGGACTTAATGAACCCGTAAGCCTGTTGTCAGAAATGTCCACAAACTGTAGGCTTTTAGGCAGGGTTTCTGGCAAGGGACCAGTGAATGCATTTGAATGGAGATCAAGAAACTCAAGATTTTGACAACCAGATAATGATGCAGGAATTCCTCCCATAAAATGATTGTGACTCATGTCAAGGAAATTCAAACTTCTTAAGTTTCCTATCTCCAATGGAACAGTACCCCCTAGCCTATTGTTGTTCACCCTGAATCTATACAAGTTTGTGCATTTACCAACATCAGGTGGTATAAAGCCAGACAAATCATTGGAAAGAAGCAGCAGTTTTGTCAGATTATTCAAAGCAAAGATTTCTTTTGGTATGGGACCAAAAAGATTGTTGTAAGAAAGGTCTAGAGCCTGAAGATTCTCACATTGAGATAAGGAAACAGGAATATTGCCTGTTAAATTATTTTTCCATGCAAAGAATAAAGTCAAGCTCTTTAAGTTTCCTATTTCATTAGGAATCTGGCCTGAAATATCATTGTTGTCAACTTCCAAATGAGACAGAGAAGTACAATTAGATATTTCAGGAGGTATAATACCTGATAACTGATTGACACTCAACTGCAACTCCTCAAGACCTAAAATGCCACCAAAACTAGTAGGAATGCTACCTGTTAAAAGATTCTCAGATAAATCAATAACTGTAAGAGCTTTGCAATTTCCAAGCTCATTAGGAATCACACCAACTATGCTATTTTGCCATAGCAATAAGCTCTGGAGCTTTTTAAGCTCCCCTATACTCCGCGGGATCGAACCTGAGATTGAATTTTGATACAAGTACAAGTTCTGGAGTTCACTGCAATTACCAATCTCTTCTGGAATTGGTCCAGACAAAAGAGCTGTGTAAATTGCAATGGTCTGAATCCTTTTCAGGTTGCCAATTGAAGGTGGCAAATTC